GCACGACACTGAGGGTTGCGGTCCGTTGCCGGACACAAAAAAAGACAAAAAGGAAAAAAATAAATAAATAAAATAAATAAATAAATTCTGCTAATTAAAGGCTTTTTTAAAAAGTTGTTCAGTTATGTTTAATCTTGTTTGTATCTATATAAAATCAAAAAACATATCTTCTGGGTTTCCTATTTTACCTAGGAATATCAATTAGTTTGTATTAGAATTTCATTAGATAGGCTGGGTTTACAGTTCAAATCTCTCTGGTCTAGTATTGCCCTGTACAGATATGTCTTTCCTGTCTATAGGTGTCTTCAGCATTATTTGTTACTACTTCCCTACACAACCATCTATTAATTAAAGTTTTGAGAGCCTTTTTGTGCTAGGATTCATACCAGGTACAGGGGATACAGAGAGGAGAAAACGCAGTGCAGGAGTGCACACGGACAGGTCAACCAGCTACAACAGGAGGAGGGTTCTCATAGGGGACGGGGCTCCTGCGGGCCGCGGAGCAGAACGTCCCCATCCTGGGAATGGGGAAGGACGCAAGGGACAGCGAGAGCTGTGTATTAGTCTGTTTATGTTGCTTATAACAAAATACCTGAAACTGGGTGATTTATAAAGAAAATGAAATTTATTGCTTACAGTTTCTGAGGCTGAGAAGTCCAAAGTCCATCTGGTGGTGGTGACAGTGACCCAAGGGTCTCACATTGCAAGACGGTAGAAGCAGAGAGAGCAGAGAGAGAGAGACTCTCCTCTTCTTTTAAAACGCTCAGAACCATGCCCCTGACCACCATTTTTAATCCATTCCCTACCGCACGGTCCTACAATCCAATCACCTCTTCAAGGCTCCACCTTTCAGTCACCATAATAGGATCTCCCACCCTCTCAGCAGTCACGGTGAGGGCTAAGTTTCTAATACATAAAACTTGGGGGACACAATTCAAGCCTCAGGGAGTTTTGGAGGGACATAATTCGATCCACTACATTGTACTAATCTTCTTAGCACCATTGGATTTTTCTTCTGAAAATGCTGTCTTGCTTCTCCACCATTTAACCCGTCTCTAAAACTTTCCCTGATTTTCTTGTCTTCTAAACTTTCACCAGCATCTAGGCTTTTTCTAGCCTGTCCCTCCAAATTCCTCCAGCACCACCCAGTTCTGTGTATTTTGTAATGAGCAAAAAAAAAACGGACTAATACAATCAGAGCTGGTGCTGGATCAGGATCTTGAAGGAGAAACACAAATCTTGCTCATGAGTGTGAGCGGTGGGGTGTGTGTGAAGACAGGGTAGGAAGAGTGCATGACCTTCCAGACACAGCTCGGATGTCACAACTGCAGTCCAGGAATCACTGACACATGTCCTCTTTGACTGTGCCTTTGTTCTCACCGCATGAACAGGAATCTCTGGTGTAATTTGATAGTTTCAGGAGAGTTGCCTGATTTCCAAGGAGTTCTGGTAAAAATACAGCAGCAGAATTGTTGTCTTCAACAAAATAGAAGTTTGCTATAATCTTTCTGATGCCTGGATTTTAATTTACATCACTCACTTTGCACTGTCTCATTAAATTCTGACAACCCATTTATAGGTGAAGAACCTGAGGCCAAGAAAGATTAAGTTGTCCAGAGATACACAGCTGGGAAGCTGGGAGGGGCTGCACCAGCTTTGATCATGGTTTGTTCTAACTCATAATTGTGTACGTGACTATTTCCAAGTAGTTTTTAATCTGTACGTGACTATTTCCAAGTAGTTTTTAATCTCCATAATACTATGAGATGTTATTAGTCCATGTAACGTATGTGTAAACTTAAGAAATGTTATGCTCTAGCAGCAGCCTTTCCATTTCAGTGACTTCACGAAGGTCTCTGGACAGAGTCCCCTGCAGGGTTGTCAGCTCGCACAGAACAGACTTGAGATGCTGGCATCCCCGCTCCCCTGGGCTCCAGCATGCAGCCTGTCTCCCTAACAGGAGGACTGGCTTCCAGGCCACACCACAGTCCATCTATTTTCATACTGTTGTAGTGACAAGCATTTTTTTAAAAAGTAGGAAATATGGCCCCAACGGTGTGATGAGATGCATTTCAGAGTCTGGCTTTTCTATCTGTAGCAATTCTGAGGTTGCCACCAGTAGGGCCAGAGGAATTCCTAACAAGACACACAAATGACAAATGAAAAGTCCTGCTGCATGGCTATTTAGGACCTGGAATGCCAATGCTGTGCTTTGTCAGGGTAAAGGACTTTCCTACAAATGCCCTGGTCCTGGAAGATGGAAGAAGTGCAGGCCTAAATGACTGCTAAGTAGTCTCATGTAATTTAAAGAGTAGACTGGTGCTGGGGTCTGGTCCTCATGGCTGGCAAATAAAACATCAGTAACTTGCATTTGCTTGATGTGTATAATAAGTTACCATCCCTGGGATCTAAACTTCATGATTCAACACTTTTTTTGGCCTTAACTTTCTCTTCTTGAAAACAAAAGTGTTATCACTTGTAAAATAGTATGTACGAGGGGACTTCAAAAATTTGTGGAATTAAAAGATAAAAACAAGGGCCGGCCCCGTGGCTCACTTGGGAGAGTGCGGCACTGGTAGCACCAAGGCCACGGGTTCAGATCCTATATAGGGATGGCCAGTGCAGCTGAGCGTGGTGTAGACAACACCATGCTGAGGGTTGCAATCCCCTTACCAGTCAAAAAAAAAAAAAAAGATAAAAACAATAAAGTTTATTTTTCAATTCCATCAAGTTCAAAACACTTTTGTAAGCAATGATACCAGCCATTTAGTCCATCACTAAAGAACTGAAGGTCCTGGGAATTTAACTATGTCAATACAGTCTTTTTCACATTATTAACTAAAGAAAAAATGGTTGCCCTTCAAAGGCTTTTTTTTTTTTTTCCTTTTTGTCTTTTTCTGTGTCCGGCAACGGATCGCAACCCTCAGTGTCGCCCCCGCACCGGACCGGGACCAGCAACGGGACCGCAACCCTCGGCGCCACTCCCGCGCCTCACTCAGCCAGTGAGCGGGAACCGGTCTGTATGTGGGATCCAAACCCTCGGCAGGAGCGCCGCCGCGCTTCCCAAGTGGCGCACTATAGCAGTGCGCCACCGGGCCGGCCCTTCAAAGGCTTTTTAAGAAACAAAAATAAGTTAGAAGGAGCCAAATCAGGACTGTAAGGTAGATGTCTAATGATTTCCCATAAAAAACTCTTGCAAAATTGTCCTTGCTTGGTGAGAGGAGTGAGCCAGAGCATTGTCATGTGGAGGAGGACTCTCTGGTAAAGCTTTCCAGGGTGTTTTTCTGCTAAAGCTTTGGCTGACTTTCTCAAAACACTCTCCTAATAAGCAGATGTTATCATTCTTTGGCCCTCCATAAAGTTTACAAGCAAAATGCCTTGAGCATCCCAAGGTCACTTGTTGCTGTGACCTTTGCTCTTGACTGGACTGCTTCTGTTTTAACTAGACCACTTCCACCTCTTGGTAGCCATGGCTTTGATTGTGCTTTGTCTTCAGAATCATACTGGTAAAGCCATGTTTCATCTCCTGGCACAACTCTTCAAAGAAATGTTTTATGATCTTGAGCTCACTTGTTTAAAATTCCCATTGAAAGTTCTGCTTTTGTCTGCCACTGATCTGGGCACCCACTGAATAGAAAGTTTGGCACCCATTGAGTGGAAAATTTGCTCAACTGTAATTTTTCAGTCAGATTTATGTAAGCTGAGCCAATTGAGATGTCTATGGTGTTACTGTTTCTGCTGTATTGTTTAATCATTGATCCTCTTCAATTAGCGCATGAACAAAATTAATTGTTTTCCTCCTAAATTGATGTGGATGGACTGCAGCTGTGAGCTTCATTGTCAACATTGTATCCTTTCTTCTTAAAATGACTTATCTACTTGTAAACTGCTGATTTCTTTGGGTCATTGTCCCCCATACACTTTCTGTAAAGCACCAGTGATTTCTCCACCTTCCACCCAAGGTGCACCATCAATGTGATGTTTGTTCTTGCTTCAATTTAATGGAATTCATGTTGCTGTGATGGAGGCTCTTTTCAAACTATTGTGTTATCCTTCCTAGTGCCTCAAATCAGATCCTGTTCAGACATGTTATAAGAAGTTATAATGAATTTATTTTGGTGCCAAAAAAGTTTGAAATCCATACATAGTTTTTCATAATATGCATTTTCCATGAACTTTTTGAAGACCCTCTCATACTTTTATAGCCAGGAGCCCCAAGAATGTATATGTAAATTCTAATTTCAGTACACTTTGATGAAGTCGGATTCATCCTTGCTTGTTTTAAAACTGAACCTCTTGTATGAGTTCTGTGTGATGCCCTCCCTTCTATGTTTTCAAAGTTATCTGTACCCAAAACACGTTACTGCTCTGCATCAGTTCAGCTCAGTTAAGTGCTCAATGTTGTGAACAATAAACAGGACATGCATTTTTTTCCTTATCAGATGCAAAATTTTCTACAATAGCATTGGCTCCTAGGGAGACATGGTCCTCTGAGATTGGATTTTATCAAAAAATTATGGTGTTCAGAGAAGATTACTAGAATGTCTGAAATCTACAGGAGAAATTTCAGACAGTCTGGAGACATTCTGCAGAGTGAAAGGGTTGTGAGTGGAGGGGAATGACCCCCCGCCCAGCAGGGACCACCTCTAATTCTGGACTGTGTGGAGAGAGTTGGATGCGACAGGGATGACTAGAATGTTCAATGATGATAACCATCATTTACCCTGAAGACAGGTACGATTGGATCCAATTGAATTGATGTTTGAGTACTTAAGAGATGGCCCGTTGTTTGGGGGCAGTCACATCTTCAGGGCCATTCTGCACGTTTCCCGGTCCCTCAGTATCATGTAGGTTAGACGGGGCTGGGAGAGGGACAGACTCCAGCAGAGCGTGGAAACGCGGGTGCCTTGCTGTGCTCCTACTTTTGTTCCTGCTGCCCCTGTGTGAACCCAGAGCCACAGCCTTTGTCCCAAAGAGGTTGCTCTGTGTGTTTCTCCCAGCACAACTTTGTTTCCTGTGAAGACAGTGCCTGAGTGCCGGAGTATCCTAACCCTGCTTGCTGTCTCTTTGCCCCTGCAGAATCTGTACCAGAACAGGTTTTTAGGCCTGGCCGCCATGGCATCTCCATCCAGAAACTCCCAGACCCGGCGCCGGTGCAAGGAGCCTCTCCGCTACAGCTACAACCCCGACCAGTTCCACAACATGGACATTAGAAGCAGCCCCCAGGGCAGCGTCACCATCCCCCGCTCCACCAGCGACACTGACCTGGTCACCTCGGACAGCCGCTCCACGCTCATGGTCAGCAGCTCCTACTACTCCATAGGGCACTCGCAGGACCTGGTGATCCACTGGGACATAAAGGAAGAAGTGGACGCCGGGGACTGGATCGGCATGTACCTCATCGGTGAGTAGCCCTGGCCGATGGACTCAGCCAGACCGCTGACAGCGTGTGCAGAAAGAACACTCTTATGAGTATGCTTTGGGCATTCAACTATCATATTATTCACAGCTCACTGTCACATTTGCTTTGATATTTTAATAAACTCTATAGTATAATTAAAATGCACAATCACCTATGTTGTACAATGGATTCCAGCACACTGCAGACCCCAGTGCATTACCTTGTTTGTCTGCAGACCACACGATAAGGCGCTCTGCCATCTCTAGTCAATGGAAGAATGTCATGAGATAGCAGGCAAGGGACAGTTAAGTGCCGATGCCACTACCAATTGCCACTACCGAAGTTCCCTACTTGTAATTGGATATCAAAAGCCTGTCTTTAAATCCATGAGTTTATAAGACCAAAGTAACACCACATACCCAACCAATCCAATACACGCACATCGATGTGGAAGTAGGTTCACTTTTGTTTCCAACATAATCTGTTCACCAGCTCTCCCAACATTCTTGCTGCTTTGTATTCAGAGGACACAAAGGGATTATACATTCAGCTGTGGTGCTGGAGAAAGCAGACCTGCTTTGCTTTAGGTAGAGCTTTATTGAAAATTATGGAAGTTCCAAAGCTGAAAGTTCATCAGAAGAGATTTTTCTATGGGAATTTTCTCATGTCTCTGCAAACAAACCACATTATGCAAACTATTTTTATGAAAGTTTCACCATTCTCATTGATTGATGCTGAAAATAAATCTTACAAATTTGAAATTATAAAAGTAAATCTACGTGAAAAATGTATTTCATCTATTTTACGTGGTAGCATCAGGTGAGGTGTACATTTATGAGTTCACACACAAGCCAACAGGTAATTGCTGGGGAGCCACGAGAGTCGATAGGCTCAGTGCCAGGTTGGCAGGGGCTAGCCCCCACTTTCAGCCTGCATGATGTGCTGTCTTCACCCTTAGACACGGCACCAGAGTCAGCATCGGGGAGTGCCACAAGAAGCAATGGGTTGATATGAATAGTCAACAACCTTTAATTATCAATGTTACTTGTTTAGCACTTGAGGCAATTAGGTTTTTGGCCCCAGACCTAGTTTTGAATCACCTGTTTACAGGGGTGCCTCCTGCAGCTGGTGGGTGTTGGTGCAGCTCCTTGAGTTAGGGAACTACTAGAAGAAGAGCTGAGTTCAGCATGGACCTTACTGAATGGGGACAGCTGAGGGACATTGTCCACGATGAACAGATAGGAGGGTCTTTAGCTCAGCCATAGATCCAGGTTGGGGTTGTAGATTTGGGGTAATTGGCACCATGGGAGTAGATAAGGTCACTTGTGGGGTGTGTGTAGCACACAGAGAGCACTAGAAGGTCACCGTCAGAGGGAGGCACAGACGAGGGACTCAGAGAGAAGATGCAGGAGGTGGTGAAGGTAAGACAACTAGGAGACCACATCACAGAGGACAAGAGAAGAGGGTGTCAAGTGTCACAAGACACTCTGTGATGAGTAAGATCTGGAGTTCATGTGATGTCTTGACTGAAGCAAAAGTAACCACAACACATCATCTTAGAATCTTAATTTGACAGTTTGTTATTCTCATAGTAGCTACACATATGTAACTGTGAAGTTATTTAATGCAAAATGTCAACACTTTCAATGGCATAGCATCTCAGAAATAATTTCCAAATCCTAAATTATCTGTGAATCTTAAAATTTCATAATTTGTAAGGCCTTAGTAACTGATCTTCCAGATTTGCAGCACCTTGCCAAAAATCAAATCATAGATTTAGGCCTAAAATTTTAGAGGTATTGATTTCATCTAGTCTGTCATTTTAAAAATGAGGGGATGTAAAGTCAATGGCTCCTGTGGCCACATGGCTGTTCCCCTGGTGGCAGAACCACGCAGACCACAGGAGCATCTTATCATTGGAGAGGGCCATTCCAAAGCAGTGGGCCATCGAGATATCCAGGCGAGGCCAGGCTTGTGATGCCTTCAACCTCATATGACCTCTGGAGCTCTCCAGGCAAGCATGACTTTTCTCCAGCTATGAGAGGGCAAAAACACGGATGGTGATGTGTGGTCACCACCTCACCAATGCTGTTCTTCACCAAGATCACAGGAACCAGCAGTGGGACAACAACATCAGCATTACCATTATTATAGAATGAAATAGCACGTGGATGCCCTTGTTTTTGAGTGGTTCAGGATGCTCTAGATGAGAGTGACAAATGATTCTCTCTCCCAGTGGCATAGAATAGGGGAAGATTATGTGGTTCTGGTGACAGGCAGACCTGGCTGAGAATCATACTCTGCCCCTGGCCAGATGTGTGACCTGAGCCAGGTACTGCCATCTGAGCTCAGGTTCCTTATCTCCAAAACGGAGCAAAAGTGTAAATCTCTTCTCAGGATCAGTGAGAGGACTTAATGAGATAATGTCTGTTTAACTGCATGGTGATCAATACATCACTTCTTGATTCACCTTGCCAAGTAGCTTTATTCTCTGGATGCATCCTGGAAAATACCCTAATTCCCAGGCTTCGTTCAGCCTAGCCATAGCCCTTAGACCTGTACTCAGTTGTTCAAGGACTTCCACCCAAACCAATAGAGACCTGGAACGTGAGTTTAAATGTCAGTAAATAGGCAGAAGCTTATCATTTGCTCAAAAACATGTACATAAAATCAGATTTGTTAGAATCAGTACTTCTAGTAAATAGTTTCCCAAGTATTCATTTAGGAATGGATACTTGGCTTTGTTTTTTTGTTTTGTTTTGTTTTTTTTCCATGTAACTTTTATTACCCTTCCCCGATTTTTACAGATAAGGAAACTGAGGCTCACAGACATTGACTTGTCCAAGGTCATATTGCTGATACTTGGCTTTGATAAATAAAATCCAATTGTTTATTAGTCCCATACTTAGGGTTAAAGATTCAGCAATGCCTATCGCTCACTCGCACTAGGGAACAATGTTGTATAACTGGGTTAGGATGCATAATTTGATGGATACTGCTGATACCTCTAATCATTAGAATGCTAAATTAATGAGAAAGTATCTGTACAAAAATTTTTCACCTCTTCATTTCACACTCCAACATTTTTAAAAATCTAATATCTTAAAACCATTTTTAGGATTATTAATTTTGAAAAACAGCCATTCCTTTTACTCTGTTGGAGTCAGCCTCTATTAGAACTTCTCAAATATGAAATAAATATGCAATAAAAATCATGAACATGTAATTGAATAGGTAAAATAGACATAATGTACTCACAAGTTGCAAAACTAGCTTTTTTTATTAATTTGTGATTTTAATATATCATAGTCATTATTATGCCATGCTGCACTATGCTATCCCATACCATGCTAGAATTTGCCCAGTAATGCAAAACATCAATGAAACTAAAATACATTCATCACTCAGAATTCAGCAAATTAAGAGATCATAACTCAGAGCAAAATTAAAATTAAAAATTCTCTAAAATTACATCTCTAAAATACCCCCATACACTGGTGCCTGGGCATGTATATTCTCTTCCATATATACTGGGTTGCACCACCTATGTGAGGTTAGCAATTATCATCTGTATGAAATTGATTCTTTCAAATTTTTTGAGGTTTCTTCTGTGACCTGTACCTGATCAATGTGTGTGTGTGTGTGTAGTACTGTGTTAACTGAAACTTGTGTACACTGAAACTGTGTCTTCATTTCACACAGTTCCATGGCAACTGAGGTAGCAGAACGTGCCAAGCAAGGACACAGTTCTGACATATACAAGTTCCAGTTAACTCTATACTGCGCAGAGCAAGGGTTGCCTCTTCCTCTCTCAGTCTCTCTCTCTTTCTCCATACATGAGTGTGTGTGTGTGTGTGTGTAATTTATATATGCATATATGTATATATATATATACATATAAAGTTCAATTTTATTTATTGAATTACTCATATGTTATATGAGGGTACCCAAAAGTTCAAGGAAAAATAAAATTAAAAGATAATTCAATGGCTGGCCAGGTAGCTCAGGTGGTTGGAGCATGGTGCTGATAACACCAACATCCAGAGTTCGATCTCTGTACAGGCCAACCACCAAAATAAAGTAAAATAAAATAAAAAGATAATATAAATCTTTCTGTGAACTTTTTGAATTATCTTGTACATTCCGGTTTTTTTTTTTTTTTGGTCTCTCCTTCCACTTTAAAAGTCTAGAAAAAACTTTCAATTAATCTATGTCTACCTTCATTTCTGTAAATTGTATACTTTGTAGATGTTAATGCTATTTCTTAGGTACATAAATGTTCATGATGTTTATGTCTTTTTCCTGTGTGGTTTATTAGAGTTTATTGTTGCAGATGTGTTTGTGTTTTTATATTACTCCTTGCCTTGAATTCTATTTTTTTAACTGCTAGAATCTCAGTTTTCTTCTGCTTCATATTTGCTTGATCTATCTTTCTTTAGATAGATAGCACCTGTAGGAGGTGCTAATCATATCCACTGGGTAGAGGCCAGGGATGCCACTAAACATCCTACGTTGTACAGAATAGCCTCCTCACAACAAATTCTTATCCAGCCCAATATTTCAACAGTGCCAAGTTTGAGCAACTCTAGGCCATACTCATATTTATTTGCCAATACTGATTTCTTAATCTTATCAATGTCTATTATTCCAACAGACTAGTAGTTTAGACAGCATGCTTTCTTATTCCTTTGGTCTTCCAGGACCTTCATTTTCCAGATGTGGACACTTTCTCTTCTATCCTCTATATTTCTTGGCCTTTCTTGTATGTTTTCTGTTTTTGTTTTTGTTTTTTTCTTGCTATCTTCTGGGAAGTTTTTTTTAATTAAATCTAGCTTCCTTATCCATTTCTCACCAGAACTCCCACAATATAGTAGGATAAGAGCAATGATAGATATAGGCATGAATATTATAGCCATCTGAGTAGAATTTGTGGACTATATCCTATACATCAGTCAGTACTCCATGAAAGAGTTCTACAGTTAAATAAGAACAGAAAACTCTGCTTATATCACCCTGCTCTTAGATTCTCAAAATGTATATTAAAAATTTGAGAAGCCAGAAGTAGAGGTATCCATTACATTTTATTAACCCAGCATTTCCTACACTTTCTGGAGAAAAAACACTTTATTTCCCAATATTTGTTTCAGTGTAGAAAACCATACACTAGGAGGTATGGGAAATTATAGAGTTAGTACAGAAACTCAGCCCCTGCCCTTAAGAAGCATTTAATATTGCAGCATCTTTAAATTTTATATTTTAGGAAAAAAGCTAAAATTGCCTTTCCGGCTAAATACCTGAACACAGAAACTCCCAGAATGCTTAATGTTTCTCTGTGAACACCAATTCTTGAGGAATTGAAGCCCCTTCTTTACATCAGGAACCCTATTAGAACAAAGAAGGGCTGAAGCTGTATGTCTTAGTTAAGGCATAAACAGAATACTGTGTCCAAAAACAAAACAAAACAAAAACACATGAAGGAAAAGCCACCGAGAAAGAGAAAGTGACACTGATTTTTAGGACTTCCTAAAATTTATTTTATCTTTGAAGTCCCTTCCCGGTGAAAGAGAAGAGAGTTTCTACATCCCTGGCTTAGTGTATGAAAGGCAAGTAGATTCTCCCTGCAGCCCCATCCTACTACTTAGTAATGCCACAGTCCAGCTGTAGAAGCAGCATCTCTGGAGATTTTTCCAAGAGTTGGTTATCAGCAGGCCTGAGTTACTCTGAGAAATGAATATTTTTTTCTGACGGGCCTAGGAGACCTGGGTAATGCATTGGTTCTCCTGATCAATTATGGGCTCACTTGCCCACTTTGCTCTTAACAGCGATGGCATTTTTGTTGTTCACTCTTCTATTATAGATTAGGGTGCAAAATCTATAGCTGTGGTGTTCATTGTGAAGACAAATCTAGAGAACATGCATTTCTTGTTTCTTAGGTATATTTGTTTCTGTAAGTTTCACTAGGACTTTCTAGTTAAAATTTCAATAACCTGCAAAGATATTTTCTCTATTATAAACTGTGAAGCAGGAGGTAGGATTCTACACACCAGAAGAAATAAATATCATCCAGAAAATATAATCTTTTTTAAAGGAACTTAATACATCTCTACATGTTCTGTACAAAATGTGTAATGACAAAAATCTTAAATAGGGGCCGGCCCGACGGCGCACTTGGTAGAGTGCGGCGCTTGGGAGCGCAGCAGCACTCCCACTGAGGGTTCAGATCCCATATAGAGACCGGTCCGCTCACTGGTTGAGCGCGGTGCGGGCGCGACACCGAGGGTTGCAATCCCGTTTCCGGTCACGAAAAAAAAAGACAAAAAGGAAAAAAAAAAATCTTAAATAGTACAGGCATAAACTAATGTTTCAAGTTATTATTAATATAACATTAATTATTATTAATGTTTCAAATTATTATTATTTGCACATTAAGTATCATGGGGCTTTGCAGTAGGGGGCCCTATTTTTAGCCCAGGCTCTAAACAGAAATAATTGTTTATTAGATGTCTGACACTGTTCTAAGACCACTACCTGTATTAGTTTATTTAATCCTCACAACAAAATTTTGAGGTAGGTAGAGTACTAATATTATCCCCACATTATAGAGAAGAAGATAAGACACAGAGAGATTAAATAAGCTGCCTGAGATCACATAGTACTGACAGATGTCACCTTCCTGCCTCAAGGGGCTGTAAATAATGCTCGCACAAAGAGACTTCCTCTACAACAGAGAACGCAGAAGAAAGAGCCTCCAGATGGACAGTCCAGGAGCTGCCACTCGTCACTCTGGCAGAAGTTGTGATGGCCCAGCACCCATTCCAGTCCTCTTCTCTTCTGAAGTGCCTTCCTCCAGCACAGAATCTGGTCTGTGAAAAATTATATTTCCCAGACTTCTGCATAATCACATACTGCCTGCCAATTTGGTCCCTTCATGTCACTGCACCTGTGTCAGATTGAGAAGGCAAAGTGAAATGTGGAGACCTTCCTGCTCTTTGGCCTGTGGCTGCTGCAAGTGTGGCCCCAAGAAATCGAGCTTTTCTACAGCAGTGTCCACTAGCTTCATGAGCATCAACAGGCAGTGTGTGGCAGTGGCAGTGACCCCCTCCACTTGCCACTGGCTGGTCACTGGCTTGGTGGGTGGAGAGGCAGTTGCTGAGCCTGGACAGTAGCCTCCTGCTCTCTGGATTGCAGCTACCTTACTGAGTTCTTACGCTCAGCAGGTTGCAGGTGGCCTTTCTGATGAGGCGAAGGTAGCAGCCTTGCTCAGGAGCCGGTGAGGAGTGTTCTGGGAGCCCAGCCCAGAGTCACCTTCTCCAATGCTCAATCCCCTTCATTAAATCCCTTTCTGCGTAAAATGTGCAGGCCGATACTGTTTTTCTGAATGCCAATACATGTGGATTCCTAGTCAAAGACTAGCAACTTTTTAACAATTGGTGATGCCTTTGGAGGAAGGATTGACCTCTCAGCACAGATGGTCCAGGCAAAAATACAGACCATTCTATTTTCGTGTGTGATATTTCTTAATAAGTGTTATTATCAGTGCAAGGGAAGACAATACTTAAGACCAATTGCCAATCCCTTAAAGTGTGTTGTGTTTAAACATATACAGCAAAATACACCTTTTTCTCTCTGAAGTGTTATCTTGCCATTCTCGTCAGCTGTTTCTGGTTCTTCTCACCCCCACGCCCCCATCCTTTTCTCACTTGTGCTCCTGTGGTTCCTTGATACTTAACCTATTCTTATACTCTATATTCTAATGAAATTACCTGTTGAATAAATTCCCAAATACGTTAGAAACTCCTGAGAACATAGACTGTGTCTTCTTCACCAGTGTACCCCCAGGGTTTAGCACAATGTCTAGAACGGAGCAAAGAACTCAATATACATTATGTAATGCATGAACATCCCCCTTCTGGGTGTTACTATATACGAATATTTGACCATGACTATTAAAGTGAATATTCCAGTGATCAGAATGGATAAATTCAGGTAAATCCTGCCCCCCACCAACCCCTGTAGAATTGCCATAATGAGGCCAATTTCTACCTAGGTGTGAGATTCATTATTTCTGTACTGAAGATCCAGGGAGCCAGGAAAATATTATGCCTTTTTGCAGAAAGGAGGCAATTACTGTAAAAGATGTTTTATGCAATCATCTTAGTAACCCAAACAGGTCTGTGAGCACACACTGTGAATATAAGGACAGGCAAATTTTGCAAACAAGTGATTTTCCAAGGGATACAAAGAGTTCTCGCTGTTAATGAGGCAGAGACGGCGTTGCTCTGACCATCATTTTTGCCAAAGAAGGGTTAACCAAAAATGTTCAATCAACATAGCAGGTTACAAGTACACTTACCAGTTATCTCACTGAATCCTCCCTGTAAGGCTGAAGTTACTGCCACCTCCACTTTGTAGTGGGGGCTGAGTGGTGGGCTGTAGGGGGTGGCACTACTATTAAGTAGCACAGAGTCCCCAAGATCTGGGTCCTCTGGTTGCCTGTTTTCTCAGTCCAGCCCCATGCCGGGTGTGAACGACAGGGCATCTCCGTGATGAGAAGGCACCCACAACGCACTCCTCTCTGCGGAGCCGGGGCTCTGGGCCTGCCCTCAGCAGCCCTGTTCAGGTCTTCCCTGTGCCCCTCTGGTGGTTTCGGACTCTCAAAATCTGGTTTTCCCCATAGCCTCAGATCTGGCTCAGATGATTAGTCTCTGGTGAGGTGGAAACCACAAGGGCCCTGCAGAAGATCAAGGTAAAATGCAGATCCTGTCTTAGTCTTCTCTGGAAGTGTGGAATCTGGAGACAGGAGATGACGGTCCACATGGTCTTCTCAGATCCGTCCTCTCCAGGCTGCTGCATTCCTGTCCAGGCACTGGCTTTGAATAGGACATCAGTGGCTGCAGTGGGAGGAGCACACGGACTGCAAGAGAGGACGTGCACAGCCACCGCTGGCCGCTCTTGTGCCTCCACATGCCCACATGGCTCTGTCATCCTCAGCGCTCCCCTGGCCACCCTGTACGCCCTGTCACAGCGCCCTGTTCTCCTTCACATCACTTCTCACAAGTTACAACAATACATGGATTTCTTTGCTTAGTGTTGAAGTTGTCTTCTCAATTGTTTGTGTTAGTTCAGAAGACACCACGTCGGTTTTGCCCAGCGCTGTGGCCCCTGCACCTTCGCCAGCGTCTGGCTGGATATCAGCTGTGGGATGAAGCATGAATGCATGAATGCATGAGGGATGGGTGCGCCGGCTCATGGAGCAGTCCTGCATAAAGGAGGGTCGTAGTGCCCAGGCTGGATGACAGATGACATGGGGTGGGATCCATGAGAACTGAGCCCCAAATGGAAAGCATGACTGGACATTTACTTTATGTTTCATCCTTCGTCTCTAATAGGGATCAGCTCATAGAAACTTTAGGAGGAAGATTTTCACACGAATTTCACACATGTAAGAGCTGTTCAAAAGTGAGATGAACTGGAGGTGGTCGAGCCAGCTAGATGATCACTCACCAGGAGTGTTGGGGGTGGGAGGGGATTCCTGGATTAAAAGGGTCCTGTGGGTGTCTGAGGATGCTTCCGGCTCTCTGATGCTATGATCCCAGGTGCTTTCTCTTCAGTTCAGCTGGAAGTGGTATTCATATCCTTTGCTCTTCTTCTTTTTTCCCCCTAAATATGCTGTTGATTGATATATGTTTCTCTACTCTGCTTTCTTCTTCTGGGGACATAGATGAGGTCTTGTCTGAAAACTTTCTGGACTATAAGAATCGTGGAGTCAATGGTTCTCATCGGGGCCAGATCATCTGGAAGATAGATGCCAGCTCCTACTTCGTGGAACGTGAGTACCTCCCCACTCCTGTTGCTTGGCAGACACGGCAGAGCAGAATTCACCTGCGTTGTTCTCAGTTCTGTTGTGTTGCCTCCACCTAGAAATATGCCAGACAGAAGAGAGACACAGATTTAGTGAGATCCTTACAAATATTTTCAGCAGTGAGTCATGAGCTCTGGAGCAATCGGGTGATAGCCATCCAGACCAGCCCAGAGGGCCACTTCTGTAACACTCAAGAAAGGACAATGCATGTTCAGAAGCCTCTGACTCAGGACCTTTGGCTCATATCCTTTAGCTTTTTGCTCCCTGGCTCTTCCAGGTAGTCTCCACCTGTACCATAGTTGAAACAGTGTCTTCCCAGCACATGTCCTGTCCTCCGGTTCTGCCTTTGATTGACCCAGTGCTGCAAGGCTCCATGCTCACGGCCCCAGCATCTAGGTGATATTCCACATTTTCCCCTGACCTTTGGTTCTGGCCAGTGTGTCAGGATAGGGATGATACATTAGTACTGACAGCCTGATTCTTTAATTCTTGATCTACTGACATTTCTGGATGTATAAGCTTGTTATCATGTATCTTATTGAGATACGTTCTAAAATTTTCCTCTGTCTTTGAGCATAAATCATTTTCAGAGTTATGGCAGGATTTCCCACAGGTGCTCATGCTGCTGTATTTCTTATTGCATGAAGAAAATACCTACATAGGCTTTATATTTGCTCACTAAAGGAATGCAGATTACTTGTCGTTCACAACTCCTTCTCTTCCACATGGGTACAGGAAAGTGCTTTCATGGACAAATCCCTTAATCCACTTTCTGGTTTCTAGCAGGTACTTATTCGATACAGCACATCTGAAAAGAAATAGACTAGTCTGTTATTCCAGCTTCCCAGTTCTCAAGGAAAAGACACATGGCCAGGAATTTGAAGTTATCCATTGTCATTTGACTTGTTGTCCAAGAAAAACTCTATCCTCCAGCATGTTCTCCCCCATTCTCATTTGTTCTCATTTCCATTTATTTACATGGTAAGCAGCTTGTAGGAACTGCTATATTCCAAGCACTAGAGATTTGGAGGTGAAAGGCTTGGTGCCTGCCCTCCAGAAACCTATGGTGTCTGCTCCCATTAGTGACAGCAAAAATGGTGTCTGCTCCCATTAATGACACCAAAACTTCTTTTTTGTGTTGGATCATGCAGAATGAATAAGCAGTCAAGAAATTTTATGCTGTCAGAGTGTAGAGGGGACATGATTTTATGAGACATGGTTGCTGGCCTTTGACTTTGAGATAGGCATAATTAAATTCTCAGCAAAAAAATTCCTTCTCCTTAATACATATCTCCCTGACTGTAGCTTTTCTCCTCTCCGACCGATTCTGCACACTGATATCTGACAAAATGCCTTTAACCCAGTTTTGCTACCATCTGCCCCAAAGCTTCATGGCTCTTCTTTCCTGCTGCATGAGCAGAAGCCTCTGCCCAGCTGCCAAGCCCCACATGAGCTTACCCTCATCCCACAGCCCCACTTCTGCATCTCACCAGCAGACACCAATGCCCTAGTCATAGCAGTCTTCCCCTGCCCCACAGACAGCATCATTAGTATAAGGAATGTGGGATTGATTTGGGTATAAAGATGACCCCAGTAAGTGGTGCCTAATATAGACCTAAATTTCAATAACAGCAAGAGATAAAAACTTATGTTAGCAATGATTGTTAGTTAATAATAATTAACTACATTGGAAGTGATGTGGTAAGAGAGTCTTTCCTTTTTTTTGCTGTGCATCCATCATCTCCTTTTGGGCTCTGATTGAGAAACGGATACAAGGACCCAATTTAGGGTCAAAGCACAGTTACAGATCTCAGTGGTACTGGCACAAGCACAGCTTGTAAGTTTTTTAAAGTCAGGGAGATAAGTACTGAGGAAAAGGAAACCTCTGGGTGAGAATTTCAATATGCTTAACTCAAAGTCAAAGGCCAGTGACCACATCCCATAATGCCATGTCCCCTCTACACTTTGATCTCCTGACTGTCTAATCATTTGCATGAGTCAATACAAAAAAGGGGAATCTGTGTTATAAATTAGTCCAACAATAGTGTCATTTCCTTCAAGGTAGTCTCTTAAGATTTCTGTGACATATGCAATTTTTCTGTATATTTATCCTAAACAACAAACCATTTCATGTCCATCTCCATCAGGAGTTTGAAAATACACCTTAATATTATTAGATAGACATTATAATACAAAATCAGCTCTTTAAAATATATAAACATTGTCATAATGAAGAGAAGGCATGTTCACACTTGGTCAAGTAAGTAGTTGTGTTCTATAAAAAAACAAGTGGCTTGCAAAGGGCAAATACAAAACAGCTAGAAATTGAACACTTTAGAAAAACAACATTAAAAATGTTCTTGAGCAAACTTGAGAAGTGTGTGGTCCTCAGTGTACCTGTTGGACTATCAATGTCTAAGTGTAGTGGGAAAACACATGAAAATAAAATAGAAAAGGGCAAATATCTATTTTTCAAATATATCAAATGAGTGATCAATATATTAAGATTGTATTATTCTATACAAATTCTATAATTTGTCAAAGGGTAAAATTTTTATCAACAAAGCTTAACTGAGTTTGCAAATGATTGGATATAAATCAGTTAAAATGCTATAATGAATTATAGCTTTAGGAATCTGAATGCATTAAAACTGTATATAATATGCTATATAAATTTATACTTTTTTGGTGAAATAATTTGCATTTTCAAAAATGTGTGATTGAAAATGTACCAAATTACCAAGTAGGGAGAGATTGGATGCACAAAATGTTCTGATATAACTGTCTGTCCTTCATTAACACATCACAGCATCAAAGGTCCTCTTGCTACAATAAAAATGCATAATCCAGGTCATTATCCAAAAGGCTGCAGAAGTTTTTGCTATAAACCAAAAATAAGACTCTTTGTAGTCTCCCAGTAGTAATACACATTAATATAATTGGTAAGTTATACTCTCTCAAAATTAAAAATAATTTTGCAAACATTGAACTTTGGCCAGATTTTAAATATTGAAGTACAATACGAGGTCATTCTTTCTTCCTGGGGATTAAATTAAAATAATAAAATAGAATGAACTTTTCCTTTTATTTTTGTTTTTCATTTTTCTCTTTGTTTTTTCCTTTTGTTGTTTCTTTTTATGAAAGTGGAAGTATGTTGTAGATGACTTGCAGTGTATAATGTAATAGCAAGTTTCTTTCAGGGTTATAATTCAATTTAGAAGTAGGTAATTTCTGTTGATTTATACAATTTTTTAACGGTCTGACTAAATCAGATTTTGAAAATACCACCAAATTAGAGGTATTCAAAACAAATACTTTCTGTACTTCCCAAGGAGTTACATACCTGCTGAAATACAAAAGAAAAGAAAGCCTGAATTGTTTCCTATTCTGTGGCATAATTTTTCCCTAGGGGGCACCTGGCTAGACCATTCAGGCTGCTATATCAAAACACCTTAGTCCAGGTAATTTATAATTCATAGAAACTTATTTCTGGGGCCGGCCCGGTGGCGCACTGCTACAGTGCTCCGCTTGGGAGTGCGGTAGCGCTCCCGCCGAGGGTTCGGATCCCACATACAGACCGGTTCC